CTAATGATAGCCCATCGCAGAACCTCTGCAGCTGCAAGTTGTTTGTGGAGTCACACACCACATTATGTCATTGAACTTAATCTTCTAAAACTACCTTTTGTTCCTAAATCTGTTCATGTGCACACACAGTAACAACTCGCTTATATAAACAACTCGGCACCTGTCACCTTTGGTGAGCAGTGGTTTCTACAGAACAGCTACAAGTATAGCTCTTAGTCTTTCAATATAAACATTTTTATTATTTTTCCTTATCATCATTACAGCATGGCATTACTACAGACATGTAAAATTAATAACACTAGATAGTGAATTGCATTAGATACCAGATACCATCATGAATGTGCCTCTCCTGTTAGTGAGAAAAAACGTGAAATTGTATCCAAGCCAGAGTCTGCTTAGCCAAACGCTGGACTGGCATATATGCCTTTTAGAGTAAAACTACAGTCTAAGTGCATTTGTAGTGCAAACTACAAAACTGAGTGTATATATTCCAGTGGTTATTGTCAGAGGAAGCAAATTCTATACTTACAGTTGCCCAAGACTTGATGTTTCATTTGGGACAAATCAGTCTCCCCAGTGAAACACCAAACATGCAAAAATACACTAAGTTAGTGCAAGGCTGGCATCTCCAGTGACTACAAAGTACAGAGATTCATAGGGGAATGGAGGAATGTGCTATATAAGTTTAATGTATTACTAAACCCAAATCATTTATATAGTAAGCAAACATATATGATTTCTGTAGGATGCACAAAAGTTTAAATTGCAATTGTCCTATTTGCCAGGTGAAAATTTTTCACAAGGACAGAAAAGCTAAAGAAATTGCCTGCATAATGGAATGACTGACTTACTATTCAAGTGAAAATTCTTTAGGTCCGAAACCAGGAAATGTTTATTTTGGTATTGTTTCTCTACGAGAACTAGCAGTGGCAAAGAGAATCTGAGGCACAGTCTACGCTATTTACCTGTATACCATCGATTGTACATATCTTTAATTAACTAAATGAAAAATACAGTTTAGGGAATTGCCACAAACGATGCCGTTCAGAACTCCTAGCCAAGCGTTTAAAAACAAAATGACCAAATATGTCTTGAGTTAAAATCTCAAGGCAGAACGAGCTTTCTATCACAATGTTGCCTGTCACAGATCTTCAAAGAAACGCTTTTTTCCAAGTATAGCTTTAGAAAAGCATTCCATACATATAAAGAAAGATATAAATACATGCACAGCAGTCTCTCCAAAACTGAAACCATGCTACAGAAAAGAACTTGTCAGGTTATGTAATATTGTCACCTGATGTTATCTATCAGTATGTTTTTTTAAAGACTCCTGTGGGGAGTTACGTGGATGATTTGTCTGTCTGTAATCCCTTTAACTTGCTTCTAAAGCAGACTTGGATTTAAATGTCACTCATTCCTACAAAACACACAAGGGTCTGCCCCTCTGGAGAAGGACAGAATAAGAGCAGAACACAAAACAGAGGGTATCTTAAGTGAAATAATCTGAGAGCCGCGAGCATCAGGTTCCACCACAGGCACAGCTCAAGGCTGGGCAGGGGGCACCTCGGGGTGCCTGGAGGGGAGGGCCTGGCCATGTAGGGCCATGATGGGGTGACAGTCCCAGTCCCCCAGAAAAGGGGGCTTAGGAGCAGGGAGGCGGAACAAGGGGTCGGAGCAATTTAAAGATGGGAGTGAAATACAGGAAGGATGCAGGGAAAGGCAGCAAAGGCACACACAGAAGCACAGGCACTCTAAGCATCAAAACCTTGAGACTACAGTGCCCATAATCCAGATAAATTTAAACTAGCTCAGGGATCAGCAGCAGCATGTGCCTGACAGTACAAAGCCCTGCACAATCTGAATATCCAAGCCCAGGAGCAGGTAAGCGATCAGGCTGTCAGCTCTGGGTCACAGCAACTCCCCTGGTCGTATACAAAGTGACTAGTTAAACTTAGCTCAGCCATGGCAGCCCTGCAAGGATTATAGCCTTTTCAAGGCCTCTCAGACCCCAAACCTAATTTAGCACAGAATCAGAGGGCACTTTTCATTATCCTTCATCGCTCTAACTCTCTGTGTAAGTGAGCAGAAATAGAGGACGGGGCCTTTACAAGAACATTGCACTCAATCAACTTCAGGCTTTTTTTTTCAAACTAGCTACAGCAGTGTAAATCCCAGCATGAACACGTGTATTCCAATTTAGTATTAACTGATGTGATTTAAACTAGAACAACATAAGCTTTGTTTAGAGCTGTGGTTTTGTACCATTATGGCTCTAACAAACACACAGCAGTGTTTAATTAGACTGTTACAACCTACTAACAAAGGTGAGATTTTGGACAAGTTCAAGGTATACAACATGCTTTGTAAGAAACTTTTCTTTCTTCAGGTCTTCTGTACAACTACAGGCTTCTCAGTACATGGCATGTATTCAAGTTCAGACCTCAAGCGCAGGCTGCCTTCCCACTGGCTTTTGAAGCTCTCCTTCCTTGCGCACCATACAGAATTGCCTCTCATTTGCAGCCTATGCTCCCCATAAAGTGTAGGATACTGAGATAAAGCCCACATCTTAATTCAGTAAAAGGAAAACCATAGCCATATTCTCTTTCTTCTTCATAACCCCTCAAAGGCTCTTACTATTTTCCAGTGGAAGCTACAGACCATATCCCTAATGCTGACAACTCACCTTCTGATATCCAAGAAGTGGAGTTAATAGAACACCTCCTTTCTTCTTCTAAAAATCATTTAGTCTTTTCTTAACTGAGTGTAGCCTTTATAGCCCCATCTTGTCAGGAAATAGACTTAGCGCACACACACACACACACACACACAATTTCCAGACTCTTCCAAAGCACTTCAATCCTTTCCTACCTGCCAATGATACAGAGTTTGAGCCCTCTCTCCTGCCTGCCCAGCTGCCTACTGTGATTTAAACTGGTGGACCAGACAGAGACCACAAGATCTATACATCCATCACTATCCCTATCTCTGTTAAAGCAATTTTGGTATTTTCAGCTATTTTTCTCTACTTCTCCATAATTTTAGAGAAGTATTTTTAAAATCATTTTGAATAAGCAGTAGTAGTACGTATTAACAAAGGTTGTTGTAACTCTTTTTAAGCTTTAATACCACCACATCCTTTTATTTACCTTTACTATTTTGCTTTGGTATCCAAACTCTCTTTCTCATGTTTTCTGAGCAAAACAGGTAGAAATTTGCTGTTGGCTTATGTGGCTCTGTATTTAACTCTAAAATCTCACTGTTTTGCTCAGAAAACATGAGAAAGGAAGGGAGTTCCAAAGGGGCCAGGATTTCATCTGGAAAGCAAGTCTTTTACAACAGTAATAGTTATTAGAGTATAGCAGTACATGTGTTAATGACGCCAACAGAGTTAGGATTTCACTCTGAGAATACCACTTTTTTTGAATAGACGAAATGTATTTCACAATTTCATAAACTGGGGTACTATCTGATGCACTTCAGGTGTAAGACAGATACAAAGCAAGAAAGCAATCCAAACCAGCAAGCCAAATCAGTGTTTTCTTATGCAACATTATACCTTTCTGCCTTCAGAAGTCATCCGGCTTCATTACAACTAACTTCTGAAGTTGCCTCCATGTAGAGGTTCTATTAAGTAGGTGTCTATAAAGTTATAACTGCATTTTTTAGAGGACAAAAGATCCACAATGAAGGGCTAGTTATTTTCTTGCAGTTAGGGAAAAACGCTGTAGCCAACAGCTGTACAATCTCCCACCCTGAACACGTACACGTGTGCGTACACATGTACCCACTCTCACCAGAAACTCAGCTTTCAAGTAGGAGTTTTTGGTGCAGGCAGGTGAACAGAAGGAACATGGGCAGCCAAAGTGTAGGGTGAAATCCTTCACAGGACCAGGTGAGCCCAGAGGTCTTCTCTCTCTCTAGAGCCTGTCACGCACAGCTAGTGCCAGCATAGACAGGCAAAGCAAACGTGTTCATTTGCCTTTCAGCCACCAAATACATCTCCATATGAGGAAGAACTTACTATGAGGGTGACTGAGCCCTGGAACAGGCTGCCCTTGGAAGTCTTCTAAATCCACCTGGATGCCACCCTCTGCCCCGTGCTCCAAGAGTCCCTGCTTGAGCACGGGGGTTGGACTAGATGCTCTCTAGGGGTCCCTTCCAACCTCAGCCATTGCGGGATTTTGTGGAGTACATAGAACATGTGGAATATGTGGCTTTGTGTAGCCCTCTTCAAAAAGGTCTCTGTACCACTGAAACAGTAGCAGGGATTTGCAGTATTTCTCCCGTACATTCAAGTCTAAGATGGCTTCGTTTGTTGACAGCCTGCTCTTCTATTTTTCTCCCAGAGATACTGAGACTTGGTGTTCTTGCAAGCGTTTTTTTGCCTTTGGTATGCAAGTCACCACAGAAGCATTGCAGGAACTACCAGGTATTCCATATGGGCATCATGTTTTTTGGTATGGGCATCATGGGCATCATATGGGCATCGTGATCAAGTTTATTAAYGCCTGTGATTTCCATGAACTGGAGTTACCTTCAAGGGGAAAAAAAAAAAAAAAAGAAAGAAAAACTTTTTCCTGTTTTCCTTAACATTCCCAGTGCTCCATTAACTTACTTTTTGTGCCTCTTTCCCCCCCAACAGCGCAGACTCGTAGCAGCAAAGCGCTAGATCACAATAACGGTACCAGATCGGTGCTGCTGTCCTGTCGCACCGCGTCACCGCGGCCCCGCTCCTCTTCCCCGCGCCGGGGGTGGGCAGCGCAGCGCCCGGCAGCGCCTGCCCTCGCCTCGCGCCCCCGCGAGCCCCCACCCCGCGCTAACGGCTCCCGGCGGCCGTTGGGCCGCACCTGCGGGCGCCGCCAACGCCCTCCCCGCCGCCCGCCCCCTGCCCTGCCCTGCCCTGCCCGCCACGCCGTTACCCGCCGTCACCCGCCGTCGGGGCGAGCTGCGGTGCCCCGCGGGCTTTGTGTGCGCGGCGGCGGTGTCGGCGCGGTCGCGCCATGGCGCTGCGCGGGCCCCCCGCGGCGCTCCTGCCGCTTTGTCTGCTCTGCCTGCCCGCCGCGCTGCCGCTGCGCTACCGCGGCCGCTACGCCGGGTAAGTGCCGCAGCCGCGGAGCCGCCGCCGGGGCCGCCCTCGCAGCCGCGCGGCTCCGCGGGGCTCCGCGTGGCGCGGGGGGAACGGGAAGGTCCTGGCGGCTCCGTGCGGCAAAGGAATGAATGAAGGTTCGCGGTTTTCCTTGGGGGAGCTGCTGGGATAGGGCTGGGAGGCGCTTTGGTGAAAAGCTTGAAGTTCGAAAAGCGAAAAAGACTTTTTTTCTTTCTCAGGAGTTTGTGCTGAAAGTGCAAAGTGCCTGAGCAATATGGGAACAGATTAACCTTGCTCTAAGCAAGTGGAAGTGCTTGTATCTATCTCAAGCTAGGTTCTCCTTTTCCYGTTTTTTCCATTTAAAGATCAAGTTTGTGCTAAGCTGGCGCCCAGCTGTAACAAAAGGCAAGCTGCCCCGGAGTTGTGAGCTGCAGGGACGCGCGTGCGAGGCTCTGCACCCCAAGGCTCTGCGTGCCTTGCCTGCCTTAGGGACTTGCCTCTGGGCTACATCTGTGGGACCCGTAAAGGCTGCCGAGCAGATTCCGGTACCAGAAGCCGGTGGTGACTTTCTGCATACAGTGCAAATGCCATTAAATGTGACCAGTGAATTCTTCAGGGTAGGCCCGTGTAGCTGTGGGATTAAGGACCGCGTTATCCTTTTTATTTGACTTCAGCAGCCAAACCAGGCATGGAAATTCCCCTACTGAAATGAAGTTTAAAAAATCATCTGTGAAGCTTCAGGGATTTGGGAACGTGATACAGAGCCATTCGCTCCTGGGTCACTGTTAGTGACAGAAAGTAGCTAAATGTGTGACAGCTGTTTTGCCATCTCTGTTCAGCTCCAGGGGTAAACAGTACCTGTCTGCCCTGCGAAACAAAAGCAGCCCCCACAACAGGAGGGATACGAACAGGGCAYGGACAACCAAGCTGTTCTTTAAAGTCAGGGTCCCATCATAAGATTTCCACTGAAGCTCTGGCTGTCGGGAGCCCAGTGCCCAATCATAATTCCAGTAAAACCCAGTTGCAGGCTGCATTGAGCTTGCTCAGACATGATATTGAGGTGAAGAGCAAACTCCCAGTGTTGGTACAGGAATCTTTTATGAGTATTAATTGCATTTGTGTATTGCATATAGATACGTGTCTCCATTTTATCTATATGAGATGTCAAAAATTACATGAGGGTTCTAAATGTTTAAGTGAGATTGTCCRTCTACAATCTAGTTACTTAAAAGAAGAAGCGGCATGTAGTTTCAGGCACTGTAATCTAGTTAGTTAACTACACAAACCTGCATGTGATTCAACTGCATGGGCTGGAGTTTATCAAAAACTGCTGATCAACAGGCAGTTACAGTGGGGGACTGAGGCATGTTTACGTGTCTTGCTGAAAGTGCAGTCCTGTTTGCAACATAGAACGTGCAACATATGTAATACAAACTGGAAAACCCCTGAGGCGACCAACCTTTTAGATTTCTGCTACCCTGGCATCATTTGTGTCAATAAAAGATGATGGAGAAAAAAAAAAAAAGAACAGTCTAAAGTGGAATGAAGGTTTCCTAAGATTACAGATTAAGATTGTCTCATTCTTCTGAAGCTTCTGTCACAAACTCGGGTTCTGTGCAGAATCATTTAAGTCCTTCTGATTAAAACTGGCTAAAGACAACTGAAAGTGGTTGGCATCATTAGTGAATCTCATTATCACCCAAAAGAAAAAATATTTGATAGCTTTCCCCCCTCCCTCCCCCCAAGAAGCAGGGTTAGGAGATAATACTGTTTTCTCGTGCTTTTCGTTAAGAGAGATGTCCCAAACACCTTACTACTTCGTAATGCTAAGAAATTTGTGATGATCTTTCTTACTTCCATTTTGTCAGAAGCTGTGCTGTACAGGGGAAAGGCATGAATATAACTGGAGCAAAAAGGTGAAAGAGGAAAAGAACAGAGAAGATGATGAAAAACATTTCCCAAACTCGGACCAGCACTAGGAGGCACAAAGCAATTGCAGATCTTTAGCTAGGGACTCTGACCAAAGACAACTGCTATTCCACGTGTTTCTGCAAACAAACTCTTCCAGACACATCAAAGCAGGTCATGTATGCCATACAGATACCTCTTTAAGTAGAAGTCGAGTGGTATGATGCCTCAGAAGTGTTGCAAGGGAGGCAGCAGCTCATGTGCTTGATGAAGACTGAGGTGTGGGGTTGTTTGCCTTCTGTTGCCTTGCTAGTGGAACCAGGCTGAAAGCAAGGAAATGCAGCTTCATTCCACTGGTGTAGATCCTCCGTGTTGAAGTTGGTGAATTTTTGACATGGATTCAGAAGGACAAGTCAGTGTAAGGAAGAACTAGGAGTATACTCAGTGATAGTATCATACACGCTTACCCTGTTGTTACTGTTGCTTGGTATTGACAGTACAGCAAAGCAGGATACTATAACAGGTAAACTATTTTTTTTTTAGGGGGAAGGACTAAACGGAGAGGTCTTTCAGGTCTTGATTATCCAATGAAGGTGATGTTTCCTACAACCTAAACAGGAGTTCTTAAGGGAAAAGTTTTTTGTTCGTTTGTTCTGTTTTTTTAGCTAGTGCTATGTTATTCTTAGTCCTGTTCCTCTCCTTCCACACATAGCACTTGGGCAAGAGCTCTTTGTTCAGATCAGAGTGAGATGTCAAGTCCTCCAAAATGTTAGTCTTGGGTAAGCTGCAGAGCAGCAGATAATTGTCATCCCTTTTGGACAGGGAAAGACTATGGTTCATGTGTGACAACAGCATAATGATATCTGGAGTGATGTTGAGATGAGTAACAAAGAAACTGAAAACAATGAGGAAATGTTCTGTAATTCAAGATATAATGTTAATGGTAAGACATCACATGCTGAAAATTGCTTGAACCCACTATTCTGATAGGCACAGAGAGCAAAAGATCAAATCTGAGAGTATTCAGCAAATATCAAGTATTTTAATACCTGCTTCTATCCCTACATACCATTGTTAAGTGCTGTTGATGCCACAATACCTTGCCCAACCATGTGGTTGGCGATTGTTCTGTCTCCTGGAAAAAACACATGGAAAATTGGTTGTGGAGGCAATTGAGAAGAGGAAAGGAACTTCTCCTGTGCTATTGCCCTCTACGATTCTTTTTCCAAATATTTTATTCGGGGTCTGGAAGACCTGTGTAAAAACTGCTCTTTCTCTTTGCTGCTCAGCTCTCTTCCCCACCCCTTGCAATGACCAAGTCGAACTAAAATGTCAGAGACACAACTGGCAAAAAACACCTGGCAAAAAAAAGCATTTGGAAAGCACACCATCAGCATTTGATCCAAGTTAATCATTTATTGAGATGAAAACCACATTTAATGCTTCTCTAGTTGGTTTCAGAGTTTTTAAAAGGTAAAAAACTGTAAGCTTCCTAGCAGTATGTAYAACATAAAGTACCCTTTTTTCAAATAATAGTTCTGTAATCAAAGCACCATAACAACTCTTTTTATATATTTCTTCATCACCTGGTGTTCCCCTTGAGAAATACCATTTACACTCCCCTCAAGGATTTTTAAAAAAGGGGACTGGTTAATGCCAAGTGTTGATTCTTTCTTTCCACAAAGTCATTTCAAATTTGATGCTTAACCTTTTAAATCATCTCTGCCCATCCCATTATAAGTGGGAAATATGAAGTGTTTCAGTCGTTCTTTCTTCACTTTCCATCAACTTTTTATGTATGTGGTTTTATGTCTTTTTTTTAATAATTGGAAAACAGCGTGCATCCAAATTACACAAACTGAAGGCCAGGCAAGGAGGCTTCCAGGTCATGATGGCTGTGTCAGAAATGATCTGCAGCTTGATGTTACAGTGTGGCCCATGAGATTTATCCCATATTGTCCAGCCTGGGACACTGTAGGATGGTGGTGCAGCCTGTCTGGCCTCAGCAAGGGGAAGGAAGAGGGAGAGAAAGTTTGGGGAGTGAGGGAAAACGCGGGGATTTGTGGCACAGGCAGAGCTTGCTTCTGTGCTTGGCAACTTTGAACCTTTCCTAGGGCACAGAATGGTTGAGGTCTCCCAGCTTAGGAAAGGTTCTTTGGGAAGTACAGCCCCAATCCCAGTAAACTTCTACAATTTCATTGTTTTTTCAAACCTATATTTTATGAATGGGAATGTAATATATTAGTAAAGAAAAAACATACTTGAATTTGGTTTTGGGTTGAACAGTGTTTTTGAGTTTGTTAAAAAAACACTTTTAAGATGTACTTAGTCAAAGCTTTAAAAAAAAGAGAATATCAAAGCCATATAAACCTTCAGTCTAAAGATTCCACTTTGAATCCATGAACTGCCACTGTCCCTTGGAAATAAGCAAGTGAAGAAATATACCTTGTCCTAGAGCTTTCACTACTAGTTACAGTGAACTCAGTAGTTCTCAGTTTTATGATTTGATCACTTCTCTGTTGCTCTTCCTAATCTTTTTTTTCCCCAGAATCAGTCATGGGCTTCTTAAAATGATGTTTATAACCTTGAATATTTTTGTGTAGGAACTTCATGAGCATTTGAAAAGGGAGAGATGCTGTATAAATAATGTATATACTAATTTTTGTGATTAGAAAATCTGGAGTCCAAATATAATCAACTGACGTAAGACTCAGTGGAACTTACTTTTAGTGCAGATGGAAAATCAGAGTTCTAGAATGAGCAAATTAAAAAAAACAAAAAACCTTAAAGCCCCTGCTTTTCTTGCATTTTCTTGCATGCATGGCTAATAATTTGTAGGAAACTCTTGCTCTGTATACTGTGTAACACTGTATTGCGTGCTACACAATAAGCAGGATYCCAAGTTGTTCTTAAATTCTGCTGTCTCTAAACATGTCATCTGTACATCTGAAACAGCTTTATGGGGTCAAAATACCACAGCAAATGTTTATTTCTTTAGCCAATTGAAGGTGAATGGCCACCATTAAACCTCCCTCAGTATCTGTGGGAGGTACAGTCTGTTATCTGTTTTGCAGAACTGTGCATTTTCCTTATCTCTCCTC